AACCATTTAGCTGGACGACATAAAAAATGCAGGGCACAATGGATTAATGAGCAAGTATTTGGAAGTTTCTACTCATTGCATGAACCAAGGCAGTCACATTAAACGACTTAATTTACCACTGAAGCCAAAAAATTACACAAGATATACGTCTAAACCATGTGTTTTATGGCTCGTGTCCCCCTTCCAGCGCCTTTTTGCACTCGCGGTCTCCGTGTTCGCCATTCCAAAAAACGAAACGTGTTGGATTGTATTATGTGTTTAAGACCTATTATGGAATGCAAAAGAAAACCACAGACATGAAAGCAAACGCTCTCCAGTATACAATCAAAGGGAATCTTGCGCTTAGGACTGTCCGACGAGGTTTCTCGTATTGGGCGCAGTCTTTTTCATAGCTAGACGAATGTCAACATTAAGACGGTTTATAAATTTTGTTTTTGTGGTAATAAAAATTGGCTTTTGCTCCGTAATGATTTATTGCTCATTACATACGAGCAATGCCAGCATTAATCACATTCTCTGGCATCTCAATTCACTTTGGTAGAGTCAACGGAACTGTTGTTGTTGTTGTTGTTGTTGTTAGTACATCTGTCTGTGCTTGAAGGCCCAGGAACGCAGCTATTCATGTGTTCATCCAAAACGGCACTGTAGTTCAATATTCGTAATTGCGTCTATAATACGCTAGCAAAGATTATCTCGCAGTCGAGTGGAATTGCCCTTCTGTAGGTTAGACCAGACGGCCTACTGGCGAACTATTTTCATTGGTAGATTTCAAATTCCATTATGATCAAACAATTCACGCACAAGAAAGTGAATACACCCTATGATCGCAAATAATCCTATTCAGGTAATGAAACTAACGAAGTTGCTATATAATAAATTATTAGTCTTGTATCGTTGCCCCCTCGAACTGTTTCGTGGTCCCTGTAGAGAGCCTCCGGATGAGAACCACTGCACTAGTACGATCAAGTGATTTTACATTTAAAAATGACAGATGATAAATGATTAAATTTAAAAATGACAAAAATGATACAGCGCTGGACGTCCTGCAGTGGTTAAGCAAACATCGTTTATGTGAATCAACACCTTATTTATTCACGAGTCTCAAGCTTTACCTCACTGTTGCCGTTCTTTTCACAAGATGCGAATAACGAATTCAAAACCTAAGTTGATAAAGTTTTACTTGAGATCGACCATGGGAGAAAGCAGGCTGTCTTTGCCAGCAATACTGCTCATTGGAAGTGATTTAGTCGAGACATTATCTTTCGACGATATAATTTCTGAATTTACTTCAATGAAACCTAGACGTATTAAATTTGGAACCTTCGATAAAATTTACTATTCACCGCTTTAATCCTTCGTTTTTGTAGAATTTTATTCAGCTTTTACGGCGGTGTTGAGGGGGCGCATTCCGCGCAAAGATCCAAGGGCGCCACATTGCGTTGTTACGCCACTGATTGCGCCCAGCTATTTTATTCTTTGGTTATCCTTTTGTCACGTAACTATAGAACTATAGCGTCAATTTTAAACCTGTGCTGGTCTATACAAAATTGCAGAATGTCAGGCGATAACAAGAAAAGAAAAGTTGACACAGAGTGCAGGGTATTTAACAAAATTTGGACAGCCAAGTATTTATTCACCAAAGTTGATGGAATAGCTGAGGGAAGGTCGTGGTTCTTAAGGTTTTCAATTTGAAAAGGCATTTTAAGACAAATCACGCAGAAAAATACAAAAATCTCAGTAATAATGAAATGGCACAAACAGCAGAGAGTATGGCTGCAAAGCTACAAAAACAGCAAAGTTTTTTCACACGACTCCATGCGTCTAATAATGCAGCAGCTGTCATGGCCAGTTTCGTCGTAATAACCGCTTAAAACAGCAAATCATTTTCCGAAGGGGAGTTCATCAAAGAATGTTTAGTAGAGACTGCAGCAATTGTTTGTCTTCGTAAAACAGATGCATTTAAACAAGTTACGGTATCGAGAAGAACTGTCATCAGAAGGGTTCAGTGTATCGCTGGAGATTTGAGAGATCAGTTGCTTCATTATGTCAAACAATTTGACTTCTTTAATTTAGCGTTAGACGAGAGTTGTGATGTACGCGACACTGCTCAGTTGCTTATTTTCGTTCGTGGCATTACTTGTGATTTTAAAATTACTGAAGAATCAGCTGCAATAATAAGGCCAAGAAAGGAACAACAACAGTTGCAGATATTTTTAGCGAGGTAAATGCATCCATGTTTAAGTTGGGCCCTAAAATGTGAAAAATTGGCGGGAGGGACGACAGATGGGTGCCCAATTCTTACAGGAAAAATGTGGGATTGTTGAAGCGTATGAAAGATAAAGTTAATGAAATTGACCTGATGTTGTTACAAAACTAGTTAACTTCATCAGATCTCGAGCACTAAATCATAGACAGTTTATTTCCCTGTTGGAAGAGCAAGAAAATGAGCACACTGACATAGGATATCATAGAACTGTGAGATGGCTCAGTTTAGACAAAATACTGAAGCGAGTTTGGGACTTGCAGCAGGAGATTCGAGTATTCTGTCAAACAAAGAACAAGGATATTCCGCAGCTTTCAGATAAGAAATGATTATCTGATTTTGCTTTTGTTGTTGATGTCACTGCTCTATTAAATGAGATGAATTGCAAACTCCAAAGTAAAAAACTGTTTGTGCATGATATGCACAGTTTGGTAAAATCGTTCATAACGAAATTGCAGTTTCTTTCACGTCAATTACAGAACAATAATCGCGCTCATTTTCCCACACTTAACACAGCTACCACATCTGCACATAATTTTCAAAAGTACTCTACAATGCTGGATGTACTGCATTATGAATTTTTGAGACGATTTGAAGATTTCTAATTAATTGAGAAAAAAATGAGTATGGTCTCTTCTTCTTTCACCAGTAACGTGGACAACATATCATCTGAACTCGAGCTTATTGATTTGCAGTGTGACACTTTACTCAAAATTTAAATCATCTGAAATTCTGGATTTTCATTCCTCTCTGAATAAATAAAGTTTTCCCAACATGAGGAGACATGCTCAAAAGATGCTAGTTCTTTTCGGATCCACATATATGTGTGAGCAAACCTTCTCAGTAATGAATTTTATCAAATCGAAATTTCGGTCGTCTCTCACAGTTGAACATCGTTCTGATTTTCTGAGAATATCTACGTTTGCCATTGAACCTGACATTCAAGGACTTGTTAAGGCGCAACAGAGCATACACACGTCTCTTAAAAATAACAATTGTATTAGGTTTTGTTTCAATCAATTGTGTAATAAAATACAATAAAAAGCGCAATGTGGTCCCTAAGCAAAAATAATTGCTCAGCCCTGAATTGTAGCCAAATGAATTCTGCGCCCTTCTCGATAAAATTTCTCGAGAGCTCATTCATTTGTTACGTCATACTATATTTGTTTGTAGCCACATGTCATAAATAAACAAAAACAGTTCAAATAAATAACGGATTGTTAACAAACGATTATGAATAAAGGAACACCGATTTTCATTAGATAATTCAGAGTCTTGAAACCTCCTATCTGAATGAGGATGATCTAATTTCCGAGGCCTCGCTCGCGTGCCGAATAAATGGGCTCGCATGCCACGTTTAGCACGCATGCCAGGGATTGCCCACCTCTTGTCTGGTTAGGGCCATCAAAAGCCATAAGCCAGCTAATTTTTATTATATATATGTGTAAATTAAAAAATTTAGCATTCTGTTTGACACGGTTCGTTTCTAAACGTCTAAAAAAAAATCCCTATTAGCGTTCGCGATGGTTGCACAGTGAAACAAGGAAAGTTCCTTGCTTATTGCGACTGATGGCAACAGTTTATGAAGTTTTAGCACATGTACAAATCATTTCGTGATTCATTAACTCACGCCATGATGTTATACAACTATTTCCTTGTCTCGAAAATGTATTGCAATTATATTAATTTATGAATATTCAGGCGGAGAAGGAACGATCGTCTGATATCGTAAGGATCCTGCCAGAATCCAAATGCTGATGGAGCAGATAAATCGTGACAAACTTTCGACTTCTATCTATCATGACGTTCTACTCAATGCTGATGAACTTTGTCTCAGAACACCTTCCATCTATCTATCACGTGGTCTACGGTTCAAACGAAGCAATGACTAATGATTACTGGATCAAACTTATTGTGGGCATAAGTAATAATTGCCAAGAATGTGCGCCCTGGTTCAAACATGTAAACAAGCCTCGAAGTTTTAGCTCTGAAGAAAAATATTGAAATGCTGACGTATTTGGGCTGTTTGGCACCTAAAGACTGTGTAACTAACAATTTAGGAACATGCAATTAGCAGCCTTGGATCCTCTTATGACCATTGGTCAAGGTCGACCGATAATATTCACTTCCCGGGACTCAAAGGGTGGTGTTGATGATATTTACTGCTCAGCGATCATCTGGGTAGCAAATGATCCGACAAGAAAATTCTGCACTCCCGGAGTATTTGAATAATATGGCGGACACCGGAGCGTAGTATGTTTCCGGATAGGGTTAGGCCATAATTTTATTCCATATTTCCTTATTTTAGTTCTATTACGAGGTCGGGGATTAGCCAAGTGATTCCCGTAGTATTAGTACCTGAAATTATGGCCTAACTTTAATCTGGTACACATACTACGTTCCGGTGCCCGCCGTCTTGGTTTACATACTTCGGGAGTACAGAAAATTTAGCGTGCTGGCCATAACATACGGAGAAAGACGTGCGTTTGGCAAACGTTTATAAATGGTTTATTTTCACGCAGTATAACGGAACAACACAAACACCCACATTTAACACGAAGGCGAATGTTGTCACAACATTCTTTGTATATATGACGCAAGATAAAGCAACAAATAATAATTCATAATGTAACTAACTTGCATTACCTACAATGACGACAAAGAAGAATGGCAGAAGATAGTTCAGATTACAGAAATAGTGTTGTGACAATATGAACAGTGCCTGTAAGTTTGAAAGTTTGCCTCTACAGTCTATTCTATATATGCATGTTTGATTGGCGTCATGCTTGTGGATTATATCTTTAGAGTTACTAAATAATTGATTGAACATTCCATAGCTACCAACTGCCAAATGGAGTGCAATTTGAAAATACTTTTGATTTTCATCTGGTTCTTGCCTGTCGCTCAGCCAACAACGCAACGTGAGTAGAATACGCAACATGCCTTAGGATATGAAATTGGAATAACAACTGGAATACTATTATACTCTTGGTATCTTTGAGGCATTTCTCAACTCTAATGAACACTATTCACGGGAAAATAATTCCAGACCACAAGCCTCTCTTAGTGTCCCTATCGTAAAAGGATAAATATGTTTTTATATTTCTTTTATTGATCCCAACCTTATAATTCCATTTCGTATAAATAAGTTGAATGCACACATCATTTTTACGACGCTGATGACTAGAACTGCGCATTTTGAATCGAATAGTAAAAATTTCAAATCGTCGTCAACTTTTTTTTTCGAGGACAGGGTGAATCTATCAATTTTTGTATTGAAACCATATTTTTAGAATGCAATTCTGACATTTGACTGTTTTCCTAGTAAGTTATTGATGAAACGTGGTTTTTATGTGTGTGAACACTTAGCGAACTGTGAGAGTGATGGATTCTAAGGTTTTAGTATCTTGTGCTTCATAAGGACCCATCACGATAAAAAAAAGTCACATACAATCAAATATTTTTCAAATATTCGATTCCAAAAAATATTTGTTCGATTCTGAAATTATCTGGTATTTGAAAATTATTGATGGCTTATATTGAAATTGATGGCGATCCATCATTTTGTGATCCAATATCAAATTTAGCACGAGGAAGTTACATATTGCATGTAACAATTTGAAATTTTGATTATTCACACAGAATAACCAACATAAATGGAGATAAAATCTCCTACAAAATTTCGACTTATAAAACTGGCCAATGAATAAAAATTTATATTAAATTTCATGTCTATTAGGCTTCATTAGGAATTTGAAAAAATAAAGTATAAAAATAGTTTCCGAACGATTTCTTCCAAATTTGAGTTTGGAATCGATTGCTCCATTAGTTGCGAAGAAACAAATTTTTTTTCGCAACAAAAAAATTCTTCTCAACAATAACAATTTAACAAAACGATTCCTAGGTTACACTTTGTTTTGAATATTTTTCCAATTTGATAGGATTCAACAATCTAGATAAAACAAACTAGAATGAGATAAGAGAATTATGAGAAATACTGCAAACAACAAACATGAATTCAAGATATTGATTCCCGATAAATTTCTGCCCACCTATACCCAGAATTCTTTAATTTTTGGTATCGTTGTTAAAATTTATTTTCTATTCCGGTGTCTTTATGTTTGCATTAATAACATGAGTATTTCTATTCATTCAGATGGAGAATTATGTGTTACTAAATGGAAGAACGGTCATTTTGTAACCGAAGGTTCCTGTGAAAGTCCAACTAGCAATGGTAAAATATAAAATAGAACTCTGTCGCAAAAAAAGCTATTTTAATTCCAGCTTTACAAGAGTCAAATTCATACTTGAAAAATGGGTTCAAGATGTTTACCTTCCAAGTATCTGCGATGATTACTAGCAGGACATTCTTGTTCAGTGCTTAGCATAATAACAACTTCAAATATTCATAAAACTTCCAAATGGTGATGTTATTTTTGAAAAAAAAAAACAGACTAACTCGCTGAAATAATGCAGGCATTGTACCTTCCATTGACGAAATTCCTATTTTTATCGTGAAACCTAATTTAAGCAACCACGGATATTCCGCTTTCCCTGACTGTTCCCTGTTGTATAGCGAAGTAATATGGTATTTCAGCCTGTGATACTGGTAGAAGAAGGTAACGAACCGGTAAGTTAACAATTTAAGAATGGTTGAAGTAAGAAAACGCTCCCAGCATCTTTGCTTCGCTTTGATTGCAATTTGCTTACAACTTACATTTCGCTCGCTCTTTACGTCTATTTTAGTAAAATTTGGAATTTAGTCGCATTACGCAGCATTTTGTTTTAAAATGTTCATCTGAATAATATAAAATTAAAGACCTAAATCCTCAACTACTGTAGGACAGTGACATCAGTATTGTAACCAACATTGTGTGCATGTGTTCTTTGTACCATTGCATCTTAAAATCTCTTTCATTCGCACGTATCAGCTAACTCAGCGGCTCCCAACCTTTTTTCTGTCGTGGCCCTCTTTCGTTGCACAAAACTTCTGTGGCTCATTAACTTTCTCATGTAAGGAAAAACTACCAAAAAATGGAAAAATAAAAAATTATTTCCTCAAAAATAAACACCTCCACTTTTCGATTAGAATTACCACTCAGTAGGATATACCGTATTATTATTCTACTTCCATCATATTTACCTAGGTTATTATTAACTCTAGCAATTTTCAAAAAGTTTGTGTCCCACCTGACAATGTATCTGTGGTCCAGCAGTGGGTCATGGCCCGGTTGAGAACCGGTGAGCTAGCTAGTAGCCAAGATGATTCAGCAAATGGTCGTAATATTTGGGAGTGTGACCTGATTTTGCTATATAAAAATATTCATTTCGTCTATGTAACTCACATATTCTCAAACAGACATCGTCAAGCATCTAAAACAAAGAGTATACCAAAATACTTGGTATGTGGCAACCAATAATTTTTCCTATAAACTGTTCCACGATACGGTGCCGTATGAAACTGCCCAATACGAATGTCAGACAAGGGGTGCCAGCCTCGCTGCCGCTGGTATCCGGGATCCTGCAGTGCGCAGGTAATGGTTTAAAATATCTACCAAATTAGTTTTTTGTACAAAATAATTGTATATATACGTAGCCTATATACTAGTGATTTATTGTATAATATGTTTGTGCAAAACATTTAGTTTCGTAGATTAGTCAATTCTATAGGAAGAGGATGTCGTATTTTAGTTTATTTCGACACCTTCATTAAACGATTTCCTGTTGAACGTAGTAGTCGATGTGTAAAATGTAATAATAGCTATATGTATTTGAAAGTGGAATTGTTTACAACTGTTTAACAACAGTTTCTCTACTCTGTTTGGGTTCTGAGCTTGGGCGCGTCAAACCTATATGCTGCTCGGGGCGTGTTTCTGATAATAATGTCCCTTATACCTAATTTTAAATATAATTCGGAGGATAAACAAATTATAGATGTAGTTATACATGAGAATAAATAACTTAAAGGTCAAGTAAGAGTGAAATGTTTATATTATTATTATTTAAATCATCTAACTAAGCAACAAATCCTAAGACGTACTGCCCGTGGTGGATGCCTCTATGGCTCCCTCTAGACACGTCTTTGGTTCTGTGTGAGGGCTCGATTAAAAAAATCTGTTTCTCCTGGCTGGTAAAAAGAAGATATTCTTAAAATTTAAACGTTCATGACCGTAATTGCTTTCAAGTCAAATTACTAACTCCTACCTGAAAATATATACAAAGTACACCAGATGCACGCGTTTGGTTGATGAAAGAACGCAATGAGACTGTACAATCTTCTAAGAAAAAAATTTGTTTTGAACAGTGATTTAATGCCACTTATTAAAGAAGCGGGATTCGACACTTGGATTGGCTTGGATGACATTCAAAATGAAGGCAAGTTTGTTTGGAAAGACGGCGTCCCTTCAACTAAGGAAAATACCATTTGGTTTGTTAATCAACCGGATAATAACGGAAACGAAGATTGCGCACAATTTCGTCCACAATTTGATTGGATGCTAAATGACATGCCTTGCTCAAACCACCTAAAATATTTCTGTGAAAGAAGAAATTAATTGTTTAGTCTTCAATAAACCAAAACTATATGTATGTCCACGTATTTACTTCCAAAAAACTGAATATGGACATGGTGGCAATTTCCACAATCGACATATATATTCATAAATTGATGAGATGAGTAATTAACTCGACTTTGCATAGTATCTATTGATTATTTCTTTGTGAATTACTTCCAGCATACGTTATTCGAATATAAAGTTATATTTCTGTAATTGACACATTGAATCAGTCTTTGATTGTCATTACGTACGTGCTTGTATCTACTTGTTTTCCTCTTCCCCGCTTCTCTTCATTGCACTGTTTATATGTAGTAATGTAATGATTCCGTTGAAGAAAAGAATTATAGCAACTAATTAATGTATAAAATAAAATGAAAACCATGTTTTTGTTATGTTGTGACTTGTGATAGGATTCTTTCGTTTATATCAGGCGGAGGAAAGATGACTCAATCATGTTACAAATCAATCGGTTATCAGCCCAGATTGGTTACAAGATTAGCCTGTTTAGTTCTCGTTCAGATGCGTGGAAAATAAAAATACCTAAACTATCTTAACTTTGCCAAGAATTTAGCATTTTTTCTTCTAAGTTGAATCATATAAGTATAAAAACTCGTAATTAGATTAAACAACATATCAAATTGAATTATTCCTTGCAATAAACTGGCAAGACGAACTATAATATTAGCACGGCACACAAAAACCCGCAAATTCTTTAGGTTGAATTATTTAATTAAACGTTCAATTGAGATTAATGTTACAAGAATACTTTCAGGAACGCTGCAATTCCAATGAATTAACCCAAAAATAAACAATCACACAATCTAGAATGTCAAAGGAAATATATAAATTGGCCACGGTCAGTTCGAGTGCTCAACCTAAACGGTGCTAGTTGGTCGTGTAACGAGTTAACACTGATATGCAAAACAGACAAGCGAAGATTCTTCCGAAAACGTCAGTCAATGTTATTGTGACGTGTAAATGATCAGTAAAGTTTGGGGTGGTGATTCAAATGAGTCACCGTGTATTAGTTGTCCAGCAATATTATTTCACTTCGCTTGAGAATACATATATATATATATATTTATTTGATATCACTGTTTTTCACGTGGTTCATCTAAATTCTAAACGCTCTGCTGTTAGGATAAGCAGATAGAACACAGATTGATTACCAATTGACTATAACAGCACCCCCGCCGGTCATGATATTTTGTTCAAGTCGTATTTTTTTTTATCTCCAGACGAGGGAATCAGTTCACGAAACCAATTGTACCCCGAATATAAATACTATAAATCTCTCATCTGGCTACGTATACATTATTTTGATGAATGGCGTATTTCATAGACCCCACCAGTCATTAACGCCTGGTTTATACGTTAGCACAGTACAATAGACATTGGTAACGCTATTTTTATGTCAACAGCCGCGACATTCCTATATAAATTAGGGTTATTAACAATTGAATAAAATTTTGAATGCCATCTTGCCCTTAGATAAACATTGAGAATGTGACCGACTCATTTAGTTCAACGTGTAGAGCTGGTACACACAGCATGAAGAAATAGTTTACAACATATTGCTACTATTAATTGCCAGTGATAAACTTTATTGTGTAAATTTACGGAGTTATAAGAACAGAACACTAAAAGAGCTATTAAAATGGCAGCAAAACCCAAGTATATTTCAGTGTTGCTTCATGGCCTTGTCCGGTCTGTTTGATTGATCCATACACCACTATACAAACACTAAAGTTATTGCGCAGGTAAATATTTAATGAATTTCCATAAAATTGTTCAGATCATAGGTTCTTAAAGTGGTCCATACGGAGCCCAAGGTCTCCGCGAGAGTAACATATAGGCTTCGAGAGCTATCCGTGTACTTGAATAACTTTGTAACATTTAAAGAACAAATAAACCATTAATAAACTTTGACAACGGTATTGTTAATTCAAATATGACATTATCTATAAGTTCCAATATAGTTAATGCCATGTTTTAGTTACTGCCTCGTTGCCACATTTCGACACTACTGCCAAGTGTCATAATTTGTGGGTCTCTGTAAATTGTAGTCAATCTCTTCGCGGACGACATATCGCCAAAAGTTTGAGATAGCCCAGGTTTAGACTACTTCAATTTGGTGTAGTTGAGCCCAGAGATCCAGCGACTATTAAAGATCAGGGACATGCTATGAAAATTAAAACAAAAATTCCTATGGACGTACAAGAAAAGTATATAGTGAAAAGGAAACAAGAAAGTAAATTTGAAACAAATGATTACGACAAATACGACATGTAAATTTTTCAAAACGGTTATTGATTACATTAACAGTGGCCACTTACGAGTTATGTGGGGTTTTGGATTGTGCGCGACATATCGTGCCAACAGAAGCCGAGGGCCTCACTTTTTATTGAAGGCAATCATATAGTATTCTAGGTAATCAACATTTTACAATTGGTATAATATTCAAAAGCGTTTTAAAAAACTAGATTTTCAGATTACTGCATCAACGCGCGACCTTTGTGTTCATATAATCGATCATTACTCTCATGTCACATGTAAAATCGAGTTGGATTACTGCGTATTTTTTGCATTGATGTTGCATTTGATAAAATATGAAAAAACCTGCAGATCGTTTCCTTATACCTAATGTGGTTTATTGACGTAAATCTTATAACGACTAACGCTAAAATAGTGTTCATGTTGATTACTCACTATTGAACTATAGGAAATGATCCCGCAGTCGGGAGCTAGAAATATCAGTAATTAAAACTTTATTAAATCACATCTTGTCAGCGAAGTTAGCTGCACCTAACAAAAATTATCTAGAGATACCTCTCGAATTGGACAAAATGCAAGATAGTTTGTAATAAACTTTTTGGTTTGATTAGTATGTTTTCAGTGACTACCAATGCCTTAACAGTAATTTATTCATATTCATCACACATTCTTCGTGATATGAGCGACACGACGTTTGTTGTGGGGTATTATGATTTCATAATTAGGCTATCACTGTACGTTGGAACTATCGTTCAACAACCACTCTCCAACAAAATGCAAAGTGTTGCATTGTACCATTTCCGCGGTAACTCGATAAATGGTCAAAGTGCAATTCTAAAATCACAAACACAGCGCTATGCCTGCTACTAAAATCGATTGGATATCAAATATTTCACTTTTACTTGACCTTTAATTTATTTATTCCCATGTATAACTACATCTATAATTTTTTTGAATTAAATTATTTTTGATATTGGGTATAAGGGGCATCATTATCAAAAACTCGCCATAGGCACCAGAAATGTTTGACACACCCCTGATTGTAGGCTATACATAAGTGAAATGGGTGTATATGTATATTTATGTATGTGCACATCAAGTTAACGCCGCAAGTCATTAACATAAGTAGCATGTTTCATATTTCAGTTTATTTAGGCATCTCAAACTATTTCGGATGGACTATGGTGTATATGTTCATAATGGTGACCAAGTATTTTTAGCTTGGAACCATTTAGAACTGCTTCAACAACGTTTTTCAATCGAGTCTAATATTTTCGTCCGACACTCCCAACAAAATTCATGTTACTTGGCTGGTGAAAGCATCTGATCTTAGATTTTGAGCAATTCTTCCAAGTTGAATTAATCACCTCCTGCTCAGATGCCTTAATTCATTGTAAAGAAAGAATTGTGATTGTATAATCTTAATTCAATATTTTCTTAAACAGTGAAATAATGCCAATGATCAAAAAAGAGGGAGGCAACACTTGGATTGGTTTGGATGACATTCAACAAGAAGGCAAGTTCGTTTGGAAAGACGGTGTTGATTCAACTGCAGAAAATACTTTTTGGGGCCAAAATCAACCGGACAATAATACTAACGAAGATTGCGTAAACATTCGATCATACGCCCCATGGATGTTACATGACTTTTACTGCTCCAAACACCGAAGATTTCTCTGTGAAAAAAGAAATTAATTGTTTTAGTCTTCGGCCACAACTAACTATTTATGTCCGCAAATTTACTTCCAACAACAGAATATGGAGACAATTTCCAAAATCGACGTATATTCATAAGTTAGTTTGCAAGAACCTAGGAAGCTGTAATAACTCATATAATTAAGAATTCACATGAGATAACAATTCTTCAAAATTTCACGACCAATACACATGCATCGTGGTGCATTTTCCCCCAGACAGAATTTCGAACTCCGACTAAGAAGTGGATATATTTAGAAAACGCAGTATCGAACCGTTTTGCTTCTGTTTATGTCTGCTGTGATGAGTAATTAACTCGACTTTGCATATTATCTATTGGTTATTTTTCTTTGAATTACTTCCAACATGACGTTGTTCGAAATATAGAGTTATATTTCTGTAATTGACACATTGAATCAGTCTTTGGTTGTCATTATGTACGTGCTTGTATCTATTCGTTTTTAATCTTCCCCGCTTCTCTTCGTTGCGCTGTTTAGATGTAGTAATGTAATAATTCCGTTGAAGAAAAGAATTA